GACAGATCGCAGAGCCCCTGAGAGCTGTGCAACACAGGTCGCCTTCCAGATGGAAGCAGCCTGTTTCTCTGTGAATCTTTTCAGGTTAAAAAAAAAAAAAAAAAGAGAGAGATTTGGATATAACGTCTGCAGTTCCAAACCTCACTTGAGTTCCAAACTCAAACCCAAAAAGTCAGAAGGATCGTGAGGCCCAGCTTTCACGGCATGTATTCGTACTAAAAATCAAGATCAAGTGAGCTTTTGCCCTTCTGCTCCATGGCTTATTTCAAGGCCATTTCTCTATCCTTTTGCAGATTGAAATATGCAGGACTCAGGTTATTATCACAGATAACTACATGAAATATCCTAGCCTATCGTACGCAAAAGGATTCTACCTACGATCCCTATATTCATTGAATTCCTCTGTTCTTTTGCAGAAAGACATACCCTGAAGTGATTTCAGGAAATCTCCATTTTTCAGTGGCATTCTATATATGAATGTATTTCTATGCATCCATTTTAGTGTTCATAAATTTGAGTGCACTGCAAAAAATCATTAGATCTAATAATGCTCCTGAAATAGATACTAAAGAAAGAAGCTATATGGAGAACGCATATTGACCCTCATCTGGTATAGAAAAGATGTGAATACCTACATGGAGGAATTGCTAACTTCACTGGCTTTTTTTTTTTTTTTTTAAAGGGTGGAATTTAGTAATGAACCATGGATTTTTATAAAAATATGTTACGACTTCATGATGTGTTATTGTAGTCTTTGACCACTCCCTATCCCCTTAATTCAAACACAGCTCCCTGTGAAAAAATTATGTGTCTGGTTTGAAGTTACCTCATCTGTATACTCTGTTTCTACTAATGCATACAGTTGTGAAGTACATACAGGGACTCTACCTGGCAATTTTTCTGGACATTGGGGAACATTTGGAGTCCAGAGGTAGATGGTTATTAGTCCTGCAAGGTCCACAATCTGTTTCAAACAGGAGTTCCCAAGTGAAATATTAAGAATTTCTTCTTAATTCCCTTGAGTATGATAGTCTCTTTATCCTCAGTAGGAGAGTAAGATAGCCTAACAACCAAAAATTCCTGTGTTATTACAGGATCCCTGAACCAGCAGGAAGTATTTGCATTGTTACTGTGAGCTCTGGAGCAAAACACATGTCTATTTTATGAGTATGAACTTGAAAGTATGCCATTTTGCTATTCACTGTTTTACAATAGACTTCCATATAGTGGTACTTCTGCCGTGTTGGTATAGTGTCTGAATTAAACTATTTAAAAAATCCATGACATTGTCATCAAGTTACTTTTATCTTGTGGGAAAGATGTCAAGATTTTAAGAAAGCAGAAGTAAATTGAAACAGATATTAAAAAAAATCACCTCCCCCAAAATGTTATCTAGGAAAAGAAATCACAGTCCTCAGAAGGAAGCTTGCACTGAGAGATTCTGACTGAAAGATAGTGTATAATCAAGGTAAAAATACAGGTTGTAATACAAATCTCCACAAAGGAAAATCTTATCTCACAGCTTCACTTGGAATCTTTACCAGTCCTGAGGATGGCACCGAAATTGCACAAGTCCTAAATAACCAGCACAAAAGACTGCATCAAGGCATAGGAGATAAGTATTAAAGTATTAAGAGAATGTAATTATCGTGTGATAGCAACTGTTAAAATTTTAAGCTGCATTTCAAGGCAATTAATTAAGCTATGCTACAGTTCAGGAAAGGTGTCAGGCTGACACCAAGGAGTACTGCAGAATCAAATTATTTACTGGCATCAATGAGTTTGGCTTCTTTGCAACTGCATAAACACCAGAACATCCAGACTAAAAATGTTTAAAATGAATTTCTCATGCCATAACTTTGCTAAGCTTTCTTAAATTCATATGTCTTGTCATTAAATAAAGGTCCAAATGGGTAAAAGCAAACTCATCATGTACACTCAGATATGATCCCCACAAGCATTTGTGTACGTGAACTATTCCTTAAAGGAAGAGAAAAGGAAATCATCCAGAGTTATGTAGTCGGTGACATCTTCTGCAATACAACCAGCTTTAGATAAAGCCTGTCAATGTAATGAAATTGACAGGCTGAATGAAAAAGACATGATTATCTGAAGAAAATGGGAGCAAGATACAGAATCTAAAAATAAAAGCAGACAGGTTCAGACCTTTATGACAACAAGAAGATATCATGGCCTCAAAACCACAAGCCCTCCAAGGCCCCTTATGAAAGCTGGGGATACTACAAATGGGATACATGAAATGACATAAGGCATTAGGCATCCACATAAGGATCCCATGCATCCTTCCTTTACTGACCACCTACGGGCATTCTGTTTAATAAAGTACTATATTTCTGAGATCTGCTGTTGTAGCAGCACTGCATGCAAAGTATTCTTTCAATTGGGTCATTCCTCATTCCTTTTACATGCATTTTCTTTATACATTATATCCATACAAAGACACAGGTGCATACACACACATATGTATGCGCAGCTAAAGTATGCATATAAGCCCCACAATTGCCTATAGGCTACTCTCCCACTGCTTTCTGAAGAAGAAAAAATTTCCTCAGAATCCTTGGCAAACTCAAGCTATATTCAAATCAGTATCCTTTCTCACCTTCTACAGAACTATAGACTGATTAATGGAGGCTCTATATTGCTTCTGCAGTCATTCAAGCACGCACAGAGCATGCTAGATTTCCTCCTGCTATCTTCATCTCTCTGGGTTACATAAGGACATCTTTCATTTTTGCAAAGCTTGCTAGGTTATTCAGCTTGCAAAGGCACTGAGGAATATGTGTTTACTGCAAACACGTTTTCACTTTTCACTGTTTTGAAGCACTGACAAACTCTCAAAAGGATGGTAAAAATGTCCCCTCTTTATGCCAAGAAAATGTCCTAGAGAAAAGTCATTCTCAGGAATTTTGATTCCTAAGGTGGGAAAGCAAGGGTTTTTTTTTTTTTTAAACTTAGAGCAGACGATTTTCCAATTTATTTCTTTTTAATAGTTCATTGTGTGAGCAGGAAGAAATCCTACTGTTTACTTTTTGTTATGGATGATAGATAAAACCCAGTCATTTAAATGATTAGAGTATCTAAGCTTTCTATCTAATTCACTCAGTCTTATCCTGTCACAAGTAGCAAGCATTATAGCATATCTGAAGACAAAAGACAAGGAACTGGTTCATTTTCCACAGCCTTCTAATATCTGACAGGATCTGACAGAAAGCCATGTTTTTAAAAAGCAGATTTGAGCTTGAGGAGACAAATAGATACCTCATAGCATTTCTAGAAGTATGAAGGCTTTACATGTCCTGAATTGGTATTAATCAAAACTGTAGATGCTTTTGCAAATTCTAACAGCAGCCTACTTGCTGACTGTTGTCAGAACACCTAACTCTGGCAGCACTTGGTGACACCGGGGATGACTCTGACATTACTTTTGCTACTATGTAAGCAGTAATTTAGTTCCTGAATTTAGTTCCACAGGTCTATCATAGATGATGCCTGCTTCAACTCTTGTGTACTTGCTGATCATATTGTGAAAAAATTGGTAGATGAGACATTAGATCATTTACACACTGATACTAAACACTGTTTTCCACAGACTTAATGGTTTTTTAGATAAGAAGTTTTCACAATATAATCGAAACAAGAATTCTAAATTGCAAGGTCCTTCCTGAAAGTACGAGGGAGATGATTGTCCCTCACCATTCTGCCCTCATGAGGCCCCATCAGGAGTACTGCACCCAGGCCTGGGCCCCCAATGGAAATGTGTTGGGTTGGGATGTGAAGCTTTTGGAGAGGGTTCATAGGAGGGCCACAGAAATGACCAGAGGGCTGGAGCACCTCTCCTATAAAGACAGGCTGAGGGAACTGGGCTTGATCAGCCTGGAAAACAGAAGGCTGCTGGGAGATCTCATTGCTGCCTTCCAATATTTAAAGGGAGCTTATAAACATGTGGGAAAGCAATTTTTTACACAGGTAGATAGTGATAGAACAAGGGGAAATGGTTTTAAACTAAAGGGGGGGGGGGGTTAGATTGGATGTCAGGGAGAAGTTTTTCATGGAGAGGGTGATGAGGTGTCGAAACAACCTGACCAGGGAGGATGTGGATGCCCCATCCCTGGAGAGGTTAAGGCCAGGCTGGATGGAGCCCTGGGCAATCTGATCTAGCACTTGGTCTAACAGCTGGCAGCCCTGCTTGTGGCAGGGGTTGGAACTTGATGATCCTTGAGTTCCCTTCCGACTTGGGCCATTCTTTGATTCTATTATCATTCTCCTATATGTTTCTTTACAAAGCTGCACTAACCTAGCAGCTCCAGGCAAATTGTGTCTTTCAGGACAAATCTTATTTTTTTCTAATTTGTGTGATCCCCAATGGCATGAGAGGGTGCACCATTTAGCTTATAAAATTCCTGGTTCTCAGTCAGACAGGACTGAAGAACAGCTGTATAACTAGATGGAGCTTGGGCATGCCGAACAACCACATTACCCTAGCTACGTCACTGCTACATCAGACACTTCACAGAACATCTCCTCATGGCTTCTTTATCACATTACAGTGAATGAGCAAAAGAGGGCCAGAAGCACTTCAAGGCTTCATAGCATAATCACCAGAGTATCTGAATACTGTGATGGCTCAAAGTCTGAGGTGACCCTGAGGTTTTAGAAGGATGCCAGGGGACCGTGAAAGTAGTCCAGCTCACTTCCTTCAGCTTATCTGGTTACAACCATATACAATAACACTATTCAGTGAAATATATCTCTTTTAAATTTCTATAGTTACAAACAAGCCTGCTTTCCATCTCCCTTGCAATGTGTTTTTTTCAAAATTTCAGTAAAATCTAGTTAATATGCTTTACATTTCTGCATCTTGAATGAATATTAGGATGAAACAGATCTTAAATAATTCAGGAGTTTTCAACAGCTTTATATGGTCTGTTACTTAAGGCTTTAGAAAATGCATTGTTTATCCCAGCAAGTGCACAACTTACCCTCAGCATAGGACCATTCTGGAACACATGGGGTTCATCACAAACTACACAGTATTCATTCAATACTGGTATCCGCTGCTCAGCAAATTCAATAGTCTGAGAACAGTGAAAATGAGAATAACAGCATCTGCTTAAAAAAATTAACAGTCAGCTCATGCTCAAAGGTGTTTCAAAAATAGGTAAGACATGACATCCTACCTGCACAAGAAAGCCACGGTCTCGTACCGGAATGCATTTTGCACCATAGTTTTGCTGCAAAGAAAAAAAATTCAGGCAACTTCAATGTTGGTAAACTAATGACAAGGAAATGATAAAATATTTTTAATTTTTGTATACAAAAATGTTAATTAAATTATTAATATTTGCATTTTAAAAAATGCCTAATTTGGAAAGCCGTTACAAATGAACAATCCTTTTCCTTGTTCACTGAATGTAGGATGAATTTTTAGCATTCTTAAACCTGATGAGTTTTTTATCTCAGCATCCTGAAAACTTTAATCCCATATGGAAACACCCACACCTTCACTCCATTCAAATGAACTGACATTTGGTAACTATCTTTAAATTTTTACCATGTATTGTCTGTCTAAATATGCACTACATACCTAGGCTTGAATGACTAATGTAATTCACAGAAGTGCAGAAAATCTTTTTCTTTTATACTCATAACAATCTCACCTCAGAGAACACCATGCTAACAGGTGCTGAGATCCCACTCAGGCTCCTTCTGCCTTTTTCTTTCAATATACAACAGTGTAAATTAGAGGGTACTTTTGCTGTATAAATCAGTAAGGTGCACTCCCTTTATGCTGACATCTATTCTGATCAGCCCTTGTTTTGAGTTAAAATCAGGTTGTTTTTCTTGGTGTGGTTTTTTTTTTTTTGGTTCGTTTGTTTGCTTGTTTTGTAGTTACTGTTTTTTAAATAGGCTTATTTGTTTTAATTCTCTAACTGTTGATTTGGCAACATTTACACTTTTTTCTTCAGGGAAATAATCTCACCGACTGTATCTGTATACGACATTCAAATATCTTAGGTGAGAACTGAAAAGAAGTTAGGGTCCTAATTCATCACTAACGTAGAGTCAGATAACCAAATTACTCAAATATCTGTTGCCTGTATGTAGGATGTGAAAAAGACTCTTAATGCCCTTTTGCTGACAACAGGGAAATGACACCTGACCATGTATATGGTGATTTTCTCTCAAAGTAAATGCATTATAGTAATAAAATTATTGGTAGTTTTTATAGACTGTCAAGCAAGGTTTGTATTTTTTCCAGATCAGCCAATAATATCAGTAATGAAATCACTCAGTCAACTCTTCATTATATCATCAAAATCAATGGAACTTTTCCTATTAACTTAAGGATATAAAAGTCTGATAAGTACAGACTGCCTCTGCTGATTCAGGAAAAAAATTAGTATCTAAACTGCAACAGGCAAAAAGTCTGTTGGATGACCTTAAATTAATTTTGTTGTGCATATTACAGGAATCAACAACATGGCATGCAAATAAATTATTTAATGATAGCACATTACTGCTTTTATATTTGATGAGTATAGCTCATGGTTTATTAAACTGATTTATCACAAGGTACATAACACACTCATTGCAATTTTATTGTTCAGCCTGCACATATTTAAATGTATGTATGCCATTTCAAGACAGGATCACCATTTCTGCAGGCTGAGAATATCAAGGTGCCACTGAGCTAAGGCAGTGGAGAGGGCTGTCTCCTAAGTAATTCTGCTCACATTTACCACAGAAAACAGACCAGTTCCCTGACAGTTCCCTGAAAGAGCATAGACCTGCTTAGCATAGACATCTTTTAAAAGGTGGAAGCAGATTATGTGTTAATTAAGTTTAAGCTCTATCTCCTAAATTAAGAACATGCATTACTCTTTCTTTTCTAAGTCATTGATTTCTCTGGTGAAAGACAGATGGGCAGTGTGGGTCTAATTCCTAACTTCCAGTTGTCAGCGTGTTTGAAGGTTAAACATTTTGCAAAACACAGATGTGCAAAAGGTGAGCTGAACCATGACTGCATTTATTCATTACAGTGTTAGTCACAGATGAAAAGAGCAGGAGAGGAGGCTTTGCACCTGAATGAGCCAATGGATGGCTCTCCCCAGGAAGCACATGGGGAAGTTAGAAAGGACATGTATGACCAAGACAATTTTCCTGCGTAGCAGCTCACACTGCATTCTCCTCCTGCAGTAAGAAAGAAGGTAAGCAAGGAAGTGTGCAACTGAACATTTCCTGTGGCCAATATCTGTACACTGAGCTGCATTCAAGATGAAATTTGAAGTCTCTGTCTTCACCCAGGCAGATTCCATTTTTATGATGTTTATATTTGTATGCTTAGCTGTTTAAATGCACCTTAAAAAGCTGACTTCATTGTTCTTCATGTAAGTATCTGCTAACATATCCCCTGAATATTAATACTTTTGCATAACAGGCATAACAAGATGTTTGGAAAATAATAAGAAAATGAGTGGAATTTTAAAAATTACTACGCACAGCAGCTTGTGAAGGTGATGATGAAGATGGTGTTAAGATACCAATAAGCCCTGAGGTAAGAGAGAGCCGCCTGCCCTCTGCTATGTTGGACTCCTTGAAAGGCTCCATTTTGGATGATTTAGGGGCATTGGAGTAGGTCTTGCTGAGTAATTTGTGATTCTTCAATCCATCCAATTCTTCCATTCTAAGATTACTAGAGTAAGACCTGCTTAAAAGTTTGTGGGGCTTCAAGGTGCTGTTGTGCTCACATCGAGGATCCCCAGAACATGATCTACTTAATAACTTGTGGGGCTTTAAAGTAATGCACTCCTCCTGCTTGACAGCTGCAGAGCAAGAACGGTTCAAGAGTTTGTGCGATTTAATAGCCATCGTCTGTTCAGCTCTGGGGTCACTAGACAATGAGCGGCCAAAGGTTCTATGAGATTTTGTGGCACACACATCCTCTGCCTTAACTGTGCTGGAACAAGTCCTTCTCAGTAGCTTGTGAGTTTTGGAGATGCCATCTTGTTCTGACTTCAGTTTTGATTTATTTTTACCACAGCCAGGTGGAGGATAACTTGGCGACCTTAAAAATACAGAAGAGGAAGACATCGTTGGAGCATAATCAAAACTGAGAAAAGCAAGTAAGTTCAGATCTACAAACTAATTTTTGAGTGCAACCTGTCTTGATGAATTTAACAAGTGATAAAGAGAATCCCCCCAAAAGAGCAAATGTCTGCAGAATCAATTTCCCAATACCAAATAGATGCCTTAACTCCTATGTTTACACAAACACTCTAGCAGCTTTTTAAATACAAGTTAAAGATATATCCTTACAGTGTTTGATATGGCTCCTACATCTTTAAGCAAACCATTCATTCAGGAAATCATTTTTTAAATTAAAACCATAAAATATTATAACACATTTTTTATCAAAATATCTCTTTTCTATTTAGTAATAATGGCATGATTCCATTAACATTACCATCTTTTGGACATAACTTAACAAATTCTATATGCAGATCCTGTGATAGATATAATGAGCAATGAAACTTGCAGATGTGTAAGTCAGCTGGAATTAGCTTTTTCTATTTAATTTTAGTCTCACAGTAATTTCAATGTTTTGTGGAAGCCCACTTGATGCTCTTCTGTCACACTTTAGACAGATTCTAGCTCTGCAACTCTAGAAATAAGAATGTAAGGGATCCATGTTACAAATACAGAATTAAAGAACAAAAAGGCTTTTGCAAAGCAACATGCACATGTACTGTTACGTTACTATAATGTTCACATTCACATTCACCTGTCCTTGCAAAGTAAGAATTAGTATCACATATGCCAAATTGTTTTCCTATAGCTTATAAGCAACCCGATCTTTTTTTGTCTTGAATCAAAGAAAAAAGAAACTCCAAGGGGTTCACCAGAGGCTGGCAAGTTTCCTCACAATATTATCAAATGGCGACAGTGGAAAATGCATATGGAGCTCACTGACTCACTTTTGCAGTTAACTCATGGCCACCCTAGGGCAGAAAGGAGGTAGGAAAGCAGGCAGGGAGGGAAAGTCTCCACATCTGGGCTAAAAGTGATCTTCGGAACTGCAGCAGCAGCTGCCATAGCAGGATGAGAAAGACTGGACTAGCTTTTCTCTCCTCTTTTTGATCAAAACCAAGTCCCAACCTTCAGTGTGCATTTCACAATGTGTTGAGCAGGTAACTTATCTTTGAAAAGGCAAATCTTTAGTCATCTTTGATATTCCTCTGTTCTTCAAACATGAATTAGTACCCTCTCTCTCTCTCTAAATTCATAGAATTTAAAATTGCCAAATTCATAAAAAAGAATAAATGCTCAAAAGAAAATCACTCAACAGATATTCACGAAAGAGATGATCTGTGACCTTTTTATAAGCAGGAAAACATGCTAGAGTAAATAGTCATTTTCCTGAAAGACATAAAACCAGAGCCTCATTTTACAGATACTTATGAGTAACTAGAAGAACTCATAATGAATTCCATTTACTATTCATAAAATATTTTCTTACATTTTTAATACCTTTGTTTTTTGAAATTCTGTGCTTGCATTTCACAAGTGGTGAACACTCCTTTAACTCAAATACTAGAGAGGAGTAGCTTTTCAGGAGGTCTTGAATTCAGTCTTGGATTAATAACTACTTGAGTTTTAAAAGATTTAAAAAGTACACACAGCTGTGGAAAGAACTGCTGGCCAGCCACAAAAATACGTATAAAAATTCTTGCTACTCAAGTAACAGTCAAATGCTACCAAGCTAGTGAAAACACAAATACAACTAATTTAAATTATATGATATGAAATGAAATGATATAAAATCAATTATTTCCAGTTTTAAATGAATCATGGCTGTTTCAAAGAGCAAGGCACGGACACATTTTGTCTTCACATAGTTACGGAAGCTGCAATACTGCCTAGTTCGCTTTTGAAGTCATGCAAGGCAAGGACTGGAAACCCATGAGATAAGATATAAATAGAGCACTTCCCTGTCGAGAAAAGTCAACACTTCGCTTTGTGAAATATGCTGTGGATTTTGAACTGGTTGTAATGATAAAAGCTCATTTTTCTTGCTATTACCTGCGCAATGTAGAAAAGATGTGCAGAGGGGATTTCACCTTTTTGTCAGACACCTTCTTATTGTGCGTACAATTAGATTTCTCTTTGCTATTCTTCCACTGCTGTGTTACAAATGTCTGCATTATTCTGCAAATTAGGAAAGAAAAAAGACTTTCTTATTGTAAGCAAGTCAAATGCACTTTAATATTAGTATCCCTCTGTCAACAAAGCAGCCTACATAATGCAACATCCTCACTCTATAGGCAGAGTTTCTCTGTCACATATGTAGACTGATGAATGGGCAACTTAGTTCCTCAAAATCCTTTCTTTTTCTCCCAGTTAAACTTATTCACATGGAACTCTTATTGAGAACAAAATCTGTGTGAACAACTACTCCAGGACTTAACATACATATGTTTCTCAAGGAGATCTAAAGATAAACTAATTCAGGGACATTTCATTCAACTCTAGGTGTCTGCCCTGCCAGTGACTGCAGAAGAAAGATCCAGGAGCCACACTCCTCAAGTGCACACTCTAAGGCACAAACATGAAGGCAGGATATTGAATATTACACTACCCAGAGGGGCTTACAGAGAAGCTAGAGCTAGACACTTCCCTGAGGTGAACAGCAAATGTTGCACCAAAAGAAGCTAAAAAACAAAAAACAAAAAACCACCATAAAAACTACAAAGAAAAAGCATCCACAAGAACAGCAGTAAAGTACAACATGCTCCCAATAAAGGCTGAAGAGAGTTTTCACGTCTGAGGAGCTTTCAAATTTTTTTTCAAAGTCATGAATCAGAAAGATTTCAACAACATTGCTTCATTTGTAAATTTATGAAAATGGAGCACTGAATTGCTTTAAACACCAAACAGCAAGAAGATTGTTTTCCTTGAAGAAATTCATGCTGCTGTAAGGATCAGACATTAAAGTCCATGTTCCCATCATTTCATTACATATAGACAAGCATATCTGAAAAGATGACTCAGCAAGAATTGTATTAAATTCAATTATACTCCAAACACATGAAAATCCTACTTTGTCCTCTCACATTCTTCTTTCCTGCCCTCAAAACCTGGGTTGTCTCATTACTGTGGTAAATCCTAGACGCCACCATGAAAGTACCGTCCCCTTAAAGTACTGATGATGCTCAAAAAGACTCCTGCTACAGAGACTTTATAACCGAAGCAGAAACATGAAAATGAACATTTTCAGCTACAGCCTTTTCAAACTTACATAACTAACTTTCTAAATGATAATAAAGTGACAGAAAACTCTGGTAGGGAGCACAAATCAAGTTCTGTGCTACAACTGTCAAAATTAAGCTTAAAAAGGCCAATTTTTTTAAATTTTATTTAAAAAAAGCAAGCTTAAGGAACTTTGATCTAACTAACCTGACAACCTTGTAGATTTTATTCTACTGGGAAGTGAAAAATATATAGTATTTACTTAGGAAGTGAAAGAGGATCGTGAAAAGCACTTTTTCAGACTTACTTTTTCAACTGATGTCCCAGACCAAATCTTTCTTTAGTAGAGATCTGAAATACATCCACAGTTGGCACTATGATAAAACAAGACATTGTTGAATTTAAAGGAATAACCAAGAACTTATAACAATAAAGTCATATGTAAGGATATTCTATCTGAACATTTACTACAAGCAATGTCACTGAAGGAATGGTAAAAGTGGTCATGTCACCTGAGTCCATGAAGAAATTAATGTTCCTTTTCAGAGTATCAGCCAATATAATTTGCAATCTTGCAAATTAGCATTTTAAAAATTGGATTCCTTAGAACATGTCTCTTCCCACGGATGTTAATCATAAAAATGTATCTTTATTACTAGAAAGCAACACCAGATTAAATGTATCTGGGCTGGTAATTCACCTCATCTAATCTCTTACATTTTCTTTTAAGTATGTGCTCTTAATACACACGGATTATGATACCTTAGTTGTAAATTTATGCATACAAAATCTTAACTTGAAAAGTCAAGGTGCCTCTATATGGCATTTTTTGTTAATTGCTGCGGGTCAGCCTGAATGAACTGCTAAATGCAGTGTCTGTAGACTAAAGTGAACATGCTGTCACTGAAAAACAATGATTTCATTCCTTTGTAACTGACAATTAAATTAAGCCCTTTCCCAGAAAGATCTGACACACTTTCTTTAGTATGTCAACAGACATACACCAGGTTTTCTGCAAAAAAAATCTGAGAGTTTTTCCCTCTAATCTGACTTTCACAGATTTATAAAGATGCAGTGTTCAAGAGTATTTTTTATTTTGGGGAAGGCTATTCTGCTTCAGAATTGAAGATTCTGCAGTAAAGGCAAAATTAATTTACGTTCCTCATAAAAATGTATAAAAGATATGACCTTGAATCCGCATATGAAGAAAACCTGTATCTAGTCAATTATTTCTCCACACTGGTACAGTTCATACGAACGTGAAGAAAACAAAAGCAGAACAAACCAAATTAACCAGTATCTGAGTTTTCTTTCTAAGGGCATTTTAATACAACATCCTTAATCATCCAAACTCATCAACTAAGTGCCTGGTATATGCATTCCAATTGCCAAGGATTACCTTGAACTTTCCATCCTACCATTAATATGCTCATCTGTCTGAAAATTGAAAGCATAAGAGATGGAGGCTGGAAATTATCTCCTGGTATTATTAAAATTATTAAATGACATTTACTAGATAGAAGTGGCAGGCGAATTTGAGCACCTCTTAAAAGAGACTCAGGTCCTTGAAACAGAAAAACAACCAACACATATTACAAGTGCAAACAGAAGAGATAACGACCATAGTAAAATAAAAAATGAAATGAAAGCAAAAAATCTGAGGTTGTTTCGAATTTAATCAGAAAATCAGTAATTTAAAATCTGTATTATTTTGATCACTCTCATTCAAAAGGCCAAATTTTACTCTTTAATTTCCCATTAATAAATGCATAATTAAAAAAAACATTATGTATCTAAGCCTGCTACCCAATTTGACTTGGTCCAAAGCAGATAATTTTAACTTAAGATTCTCATTCAAACATAACCTCATCTTCTAAAGAGGATAAATTACTTGATTAGGGTATCAGTGACTTTATACTGTCAAATTTAAGACACGTGGTGGGAGGTGAACTGTTTTCAATGAGAATCACCATTCTTAGTTCCAGTAATCTTAAAATCTACAACTCTTGTCTAAGCTCTAAAGTCAGAGGAGGTAGTCCAGTACCCCCAAAGGCTAATTCATCCTAATCTAAGACAAGTTTCTAAGGTACCTGGGACAAACTGGTACACTAATAAGACTAGGTATTAATTAGAAGAAAGACTGTGTAAAGATATTAAATAGCTATGAGGTGATAAAAATTTCTCCTTCTCCTTTGGAGTGTACTGTACAAAGGTTACTTGTTCATTTTATCAGCAGAAAGTATTATAAGAGAAAATTATGTAGCATAGAGGAAATTAACAGTCTCTAAGCACCATTTACAAGGGGGAAAAGGAGTATGCAGAAAAAGGACCTTGTTAACACAAAAAATAGTGGGTCTAGTTGTCCTTTTCTGGTGAATAAACTGACCTGACACAAACAGCATTTAGTGCAGCAAAACATTTGCCTCTGACCCTGATCTTGCTTTTCTCAATACCAATGCGTTTTCACAATCAGTGAGTTGCAGGATTCGGGAGTAAATTTTTTGTTCTAACCTTGTCAACAGTGCAAAAGACAAATTCTTGTTGCCTCTTATTTCACTCTATCATTTCTTACTGCATGAAGTTCTTCACGCTTCACTCTCTTTCATCTGCTTGCATTTTTTAAATTACATTTTGATAGAAATATTGTTAATACTAACACACTGCTACTTGCTATGGCAAATACATATTTTAAAACTTGCATACTTACAGAAAAAATTGAAGCAATAAAGTACAAACAAAAGGACCAAAGTCAGGCAAAAAAAGAGTGATGTAACAAAACGATCATTTGAATGAACAGAACATGGCTTATAGTAAGCATCAGCAGACTACATATCCTACAAAAATAGCTTATTGGAACAGATTCAGCTAAACACGTTATGACTAAAAATATCTACTCATTTTCCAGAGGCAGAATTCTCCCACAGATACAAGCCTGAACTGACAGCTTGTACTGGAAGTCTCCAAAGTCAGACAAGTTACAATACAAGTTACACATCTGGTTCTGACTTTCTTCTCTAAAAATAAATATAAAATTGACTGTTGCATATGAATTCAGATCATCAATCTCAGTTGATCCTGCATGAGTTTGGCCATTTTCACTCTCATGAGGAAGCTTAACTCAGCAACCAGAGTAGGATGCAAACACGACATTCAAAATTGTCATTCAACTATACGGATTGCCCAGAGCTCAGACATTCATATAAAAATCAGAAGCTGGCAGCATAAATATTATGGTCTGATTCTTCAGAGCTGCATGAAAAAGTGCATATTGACTTGCTTCCCAGATCTGTGTATGTATACCCAATCACTGATATCTGCTTCTGTAAAGATGATCCCTCAATTCCAAAAGTTAGGAAATCTCATGTTAGAAACAGTATAGAAAATTATTATTAAACCCTCAGATTCCTAATGGAAACAGTGGCATTTCAAAACTTATCAAGAAAACCAGTTGACAAAACTCACCATATAAAAAGAAGACACCTATCTCATTATGGAGGCCTTATCTTACAAATACACGTAAGCGTAATTTCATACCAGCAGGACTGTCCTCAGCAGTAGATTTGACCACATGCACAGTCAAAGATTTGGCAGTGAATGAGTATCTAACACCCAGAACACGTCTCAGAACAAGACATCACACAAAGGACATGAAAAATACACAGATGACTAACCTGGACCACTTAAGTACTGTGTAAGTGAACAGTGCAATCGCACCACTATGGGCTCTGTGCGAATTACATCCCAAGCAACAGCAATCTCTTCCTAGATCAAAATAAAAAGAGAAGAGACACCATTAAACATCATGAAGAACAGCTGCATTTTGTCTGTTTATCTTGAGTCGGTATAAACATCATCTATCTATTTACCCAATCGTGGAATATTTAGATGTGAAAGAGGACAAACTACTCCTTGCTAATTCTCTTAAAAGCAGTTTTAAACTGTTTCTGAAGTCAGAATATGCCCATTTCAACAGAGTGTGGGTTTCTACAGGGCACTGCATTTGCAGTGTTTGCAGACACATTTCCATCTATCAAGAGATATTGCTTAAGAGCTGAGAAGAAGGAATTAAAGATGGAAAACACTCAAACCATAACATAGGGCAAAGCAAACATTTGCTCCCTCTTATGAGTGACTAAAATAATTTAGAGTACAATCAAGTTCTTTTAAATTTTACAAGAGCCCAAGAAAAGCTTATGTGCTGTTCTGACCTGAGAATATGATATATATGTGCTGAAACTAACAACACTCCTAAAAGCACTATCTTGATTCAGTGTCTAGAGAACAGGCAGCTACTGCACAAATGAGGTCTGTGTGTGTGTGTAGTTAAAGACAACATAACAGAAGCCATGCTGTCAATCAACAGCACCACTGTCTTAAGTTTCTTTTGCTACTCGAGCCTCTCTCTGATCAGCTGCAGGTGATGATGAACACAGAGGAGATCTCCAGCTGACATCTGAAATCTGGGAAGAAAACTCTAATCCCAGTGTAATGTTAGAAAGCAGCATTTCTTTATTCCTTATAATATGTAAAACACAACTTGACAAATCAAGCTTGTACTCTTGAAGTTCAAGTTATACATTTAAACAGTTAAGACAGACACATGCAGTACATTTGCAAACACATTCTTTCTTTTCCAAGAACTCATTAATACAGGCTAATATTTCTCTGTGCATGCAAGGTAGTGGCCTCTGGTGGTCTTCGACCGCTTACTTTATCCCCGTTTTTCCATCATCAGCTTAATCACAGTGACTTTTGACTGACCTTTTTCCCCAGTTTGGCAAACTTCCATTGCTTGCTAGGCCATAATGAGCAATTTCTATATTAGTGCACTATAATCCAAAACAACATACATGAAATCGAAGGAAAAAGTCCTTTCACCCGGTGGATGCAAAGATGAAAGTAGTCTATTGTGACTCCAGTGCATCCATGAAGCAGAATCGTTGAGAAAAACAAGGCTGTTTACACACCGAGCAAAGTTAAAAAGGAAAGTTTTATGACCAGCACTCACTGATTCTTTTTGCTAAGTCTTTAAACTAACATACTGACCCCTATTACTAAACAAGCCTATATCATGGCCACAATCATCCCTCCTTCAGGACTGTATGAAGTGCTTTCAGCTAACTAATGTCTAAGATAGCAAAAAAGGAAACGCTTTATATCACTTAAAACATTTGCCATTCACAAAAAGAGTTTTAAAGGAAATATATATATAGTAAACAAAAGTATAAAAAACATTTAAAAATTGTGATTGTAAAAGGAAAAGGAAATGTTTCTGCTGGGTAGTAATCAATAACAAGGCCACTTGTGCAGATCAAGCCTCTGAAAAAGGAAGGTCTCGGTACTTGCTTCAGAGTCTGAAGTGTAGCAGAATTAAATGGGTATTAAAGTTCATTATGCAGTTCTGTGATGAGATTACTTACATCAAGAAAGCTAACATCAATATGCAAATCAATATCTACATCATCAATGGCTCCATATTCCCTGAAAGGAAGAAATGACATTACATTAAATCTCTTTAAGATATTTCTGAGCCTCAGCCTAAGGAGTACTTATAAGGGAAGATTTTATAAAGGATAATGATAAAGCATAATGTTGACTTAAATTCAGAATGTGTATAAATATACTTTTACACAGATTGGATCAATAAATCCAGTGGGTGAATGTCTGCTGCACTGAAAACTTTCTTTCAAATCAAAGGGTGCAACTTCTTAATTTATTTTTTTAAACAATTTTCCCAAAGTCTATACCATTGTTGCCATGTATTTTTGTCTAACATATTGCACAAACAAACCAAGGAAACAATAATGGCCATACACTGTTGCTACTTACAAAAAAAGAAAATCCTAGTTTCATAGGTATTTTAGGTTCATAGCCAGTAACCTAAGCAGAGCCTTGAGATAAACAACTGAAGATAAATATAACACAGACTAAAAGGTGGCATATGATACCTGTGGGATTGCTTCATACATTCAAGCATTTGCTTGTCAAAAGGTACCAATTGCGGCGTAATGCGCTCAAGGCAATAAGTAACATTATTTTATCTGCTGTGTGCAGTATTGCTAAAGTTCCCAAGGTGCACATTTAACTTATGCTCATTGATGTTTCATCTGTCGCATGGCAACAAAATCAAACAGAATGCTGTCGGGAAGTTTCAAACACTACTGCCATAGCACCATCCACTTCTGACAACATGGGCCAACATAACAAAAGAGGAGGCATTTCTTTTGGAGCACCCCTGGTATGAAAGCTCGTTCACTCTCAGTTTTTCAAACATCAGTTGACACTTTTTCTACGAAAAGCTTGCAGGTGCAGGAATTTTGTTTTTCAATATGTAAAGTTCCCTTTCTGACAGTAGGAGACCACAAAAACAAGGTCAGCTCTCTATGAAATGCATTTTTGTGGGTCTCACTGTTAGATAAGCTTGTTGCAATCAGAGAAGTGGAGCTGTTGGAGAGGGATGAAACTGAATGCCTAATTCTGTGTTTATCATTTCCAAGAATTCAAAAGTATTTTCCACCGAGTGCAAGAAGCATGAAAGTTTTTTACATGCCAAAAGCCACAAATGCCAATTTCTAGTACAGTGAGCCTAAGGAGGTCATAATGAAACACTGATTCAACAAATTAGACAGATAATAGTTTTTGAAAGGTTACATACCAAATTCCAATTTTAGAAGCCTGAGGGAGCACAATACCAAGGTATTCTCAATTTCATAGTTAACTGTTTGGCAACTAAACATTTATCTCATTCATTTCCTAAGCCCATACACAACTGTATGGATTTCAGATCAATAGATCCCTGAAATGTAATGAATTTCCACTTAATTTCAAAAGACACATTACACCATATTTGTAGATATTATCTCTCAGACTAAAATAATAGAGATTATTGTTTAGAGGTTAATGGGAACTGTTACTTGCAATACATGTATGCCTAAGTTTATTATCTCTATATTAATATTCTCTATATTTCATTACTTTGTTATATGTCAGTTTTGATATTTTATTTGTAATTTTTCTGACAGATGTTACATCTTGCCTGTTATTTTAATGAAATTATTAATATTACATAAATGGAAAATGAAGTTATAAAATACTTGAAGTGAATTCAATACATCATACAGCTATGCTCTAGAGCAGAACCATGCACACTTGTACATGTACTGAAAATTTTAACATAATCTCTCTGCAAACTCTCTAGCTCTGCAAAATATTCCTCTATTTGCTTAAGTAGAATTCTTCAGTTTCCAATTTTACTACAGTAGAAATCTTTCCTAAAATCTACCTAATTTCTTGTTTGTTGCCCACAACCTAGCCTCTTATTTTCTCATTACAGCAATAGAGAACATTTGATCACTCCTGTTTATATACAGCCTCTGACTCTTTTTCCGGACTAGACAAAGCCAACTCCTTCTCCCTTCCCCTAAGGACAATATTTACTAAATCTCTTATCATTCGTCTTGTCCACCTCCAGGGCAGAAGATAATATGACAGAGAAGGAGTTTAACAAGGGTTTAGAGTAATGCTGAATAGCATTTTTCAACAAATTACAACAGCCTTATCAGCTACCTACTGAACTGCAAAAGACAATGTTTTAGAACAGGCGTCCTGGGCCTGCTCTCAACATAGGCAGTTGTAAGAGTACTCAGCCATGAAACGAAGCCAAATCCAGCATTACTGTTAGCTATGAGAGCTCCTTTCTTTTGCCACAATACACAGAAATCATAGTTTTAGCTGTAGGGGTAAGTGTACATAGAACTCATTTTCCAAATTTTTAAAGGTTCCACAATAAAAACAGTAAATAACATACCTGAGAGATACTGCATTAGGTCCATAGATCTCTCTCACTGCTATCAAATCAGCTTCCAGCTGCGGGTGTTTATGAAGTTCTCCATCATAGCTAACCTATTGGAACAAAATAATCTAGGAGTTCTTATTCATTTCATTACTGGCATCTGATCTAGGCTCTTGAAAGTTCCCCCTGCAAAATATTTTCCATAGAGATTTCTTAACAAGCTCAGAAAGAACTTCCTTGATTAGCTGAAGCACTGAAGTGGTATAACTCCTCTAAGCAATAATATCATAATATAATATTGCTGAGAAGAAAAGCAGGCACCTCTGTATCAAAATATCAGAGGGTCCAACCCCTATTTGTGGAAGAGAAGATAGAAAGAACTCATTCCACTGTCCTGTCTTGTCCTGAGGGTTGTTCTGGATCTCTTAAAATTCTAAAACTGTAAAGCAGGAGAAGAATCAGATTTCCCCCACTTCGTCAGTCCAGAGTAGGAAAGGACAAGCTTTCCTCCATTTCTTGCCATGCTCTCATGTATTTTACAGGCAGAATGGCCTAGCCTCAGCAAGAGAAGCACTAGACTCTTCTATGCATTAAGTGCATATATATTACATTTTCAGTATATTATATATATTAGCATATATTACATTTTTTTAGCATATATTACATTTTCAGTCTGCATATGAGACCATCAGTGCAGTCAGATCAGATTGAAAAAGAAAAATAATTGATGAACACATTTTCATTTGAAGAATTTTTACCAAATAGGAACTGATGTAACACATATTTAGATATCGCACCAATTTTTTTCAAACTCCACATGAAAAGGACATATAGTTATATTGGTGTTTACACTATAAAACAAAAACTGTGAGCCTATCTAGCTAGGTTATGTGAAATAAAAAAAAATGTATATTCTTTTTCATAAGGACAAAAATCCTTATTAAGCTCATAAAAATCCTCTAAATGTCTACTTCTATTTTCTTGGTAATCAATCTGCCTGCTTCTGTTAATTCAATGCTATCTCTTTATACCAATTAGAATGATAATAATTTCACATAAGTTAATGAACTCTAGAGATATAGACAGATTCAGACATGAGAGTAGGATTTGGTCTGTACCTTTGCCAAAGTCAAAGAGTAAAGTGCTAATCTGTAATTTAGCCCTTCACACTCATAAATATATCCTTATATATGAATCCTGCTGAGAATTCCTGCTACGCAGAATCCTATCTAATTGCAGTACTGTTTCTTCAGTTCTCCCAGATCCAAATGCTCTTGCACCGCAGTTCTGATATCTGGAGCCACACTTGTCATTACGTATCTAATTAAATAAATTTCAACTGAATTAAAATAACAATTGACTGATCAACTGAATAATTTGATTAGAGCTGGTAGTCTTCAACTGTAAGGCACACAATTCATCAGCACAGCATATGCAATTACTTACAGATATCAGTGATATTCCCAACCAGAAAGGTTTAAGCCAATCATCCTTGTTCTGTTTGGGAAGACATGTCAGGACAATTTCCCCCACACACAAGCAAGGGAACAAAACTTTTTTTTTTTTCTTCCCCAAAGATGAATTCTTTCAGGATGTATCAATAATGTCCTGCTTCCAAAGAGGGCACAGCAATGATTTCTAAAATTGTGACTGTGGCTCACCTACCACTTTACTGCACTTAATACCTACATTTTTAACCATTCTAATGTACTAGTAGTAATGAAATCCAAACAGAATGCTATGCAGAACAATGAACTGCTCAGCATAATGCTTTCTGCCATCTATTTTCTGATAGTAAGAGGTAATGAATTCCAAAAGAAAACAAAGAAGTGTCCTAGCAAACTGTTAGATCACAGTGTGGTTATTTTCCATCCCTGAATCAGTGCTACGGACATGCTAATGTATGCAGAGGAGACTGCCAAAGTTTAGTATATCTAAATTTGCAAGTATGTTCTGTAGCTAAACACAAAAGAGAAAAAAAGAACCAGTCAGTAGTGCTACTGTTCCAAACTCCTATTCTCTATTGCAAGTGTAGAAGCTAAAGATTCAAAGTGAGAATTAACAGAGTCAAAGTGAAAAAAAAGGTTAAAAAAATCTGATAACTTTGCAGTGTCAGAAGGGTCTGTGTTTAGAAAGTCTCAGTTTTAATCTGAGATCTGATTCAGACTATTTTGTCCCATATAATGACAAAAGGTTGCATTTTTAAAGGAGATTAGGTGATTTACAGACCTAAATCCCATTGAAAATCAATAAGATTTAGGCTATTGAATCACTTAGCTACTTTAAAGTCCTTACTCATTAAATCCTTAGGGAGGATTACATGCAGGTGCCTAGGAAGCAGATACAAGCATTTAATTCATGACCAAAAGGTCGTATCATGTTTTCACTGCCCATCAAGTGCCATTTCACATTTTCTAAGCTTCTTGGTTCATCATCAGTTGCTCCTTGTCTTTCCAGCTAAAACCATTTAGAAATGTTAGAATTAACCTGTAACAATCTTTTCCAGCTGCGTTGCACACAATTTACATTGGCTTCTATTCCCTCTGATTGCCGCAGTCAATGTTTTTGTCCCCTCTCTCTATGGCCACAGCAACCACTTCTCTCAAATAAAGGAGCTTATCTTACTTGTTCCCCAAATACATAGTCAATTACTTAGTCTTTCCTCATATTACTGAATCCCAGTACCTGTTATGATCATTTAATAACTCTCTAAACTCACCTCATTTGGACAGGATTCTTTTAATTCTCCAGGAACTTAGTTCAGTAATGGCTTTTTATCTGTTTTGTAAGTCATCAATCACTTCAGTCTACAGATTTTCCTTAGAATGCCATTTTCTTGGCCAAGAAACATTAAATTAAACATTTCTTTTTTTTAGGTTTCTTTAAATATATTTTTGATGATTTCTTTGGTTTCTTGTCATTGCTTTCGCTTTGTTCTCCTTATATTGTTTTTGGAGTTTTCTATACTGTAGACATTCACAATCACTTACTACCTTTTTTTAATTGCCAATTTAATTGTAATTTTACTGCTTTTTTTGGTCTGTTGCAATTTCTTCAATTAAATAAACTGCCTCAAAAAAACCGGACGATTCAATGTAATGTAATTCTAACCTACAAATTTATAATATAAGGCAACTGAATTCTGACTAGTAGTTGCTACTGAAAAGCTCTTTTACATCTTACAAAATTATTTACTGCTTTCTGAGTATATATCTCATACGCACAAGCAAGTCATCCTATATCAGGTGTAGTTGTGCTGGTTCAAGAAGTGAGCACTTCCAGCTGTTTGCTGGCTTTTACTTCACCGAGGTTAATGCTCTTTCTGCAAAGTTTAAAAATGAAGCCAGTACACATAACTCATCACTACAGGGCAAAATCAGAAGATTCTTCCTCGCAGGCAGATTAAAATCAGCCTCTGCAAAGGAATGCGTGTACACAGCCCTCTCCAGTGCTCTGCAGGGTGCAGGAACAGGCAGTGGAAGTGAGGCAACTGCTGCAGTCATTTCTAAAGTGAACACGAGTCCACACTCCCTGATAGTTGCTTTCTGTCACTAAAAATACATTCTTTCATTACCAGTTTCAGAATCACTCTTCACAGATTTTTAGGGGTGAGCTTTCTTTACAGCAAACGTACAGAGCCTTAGCTTGCGTTTCGCCTGGAGAACAGGCTCAGTGGTGCCCTGCTCATCAGTATGCTGCACAGTCCGCTCCAAACCAAAGCAGCCGGCGCTGCTGACGCACACCTGCAGCCTCTCCTCTCTGCTCTGAGGGCATGGATGGCTTCAGCCTTCAGGCAGAGGCAATGATGACTTTCACAAATATCGGCCATAATTCCTTAATATGTCCATTGAAACAAACAGTTCTAACAACGTAGGGGAGGAATTATTTCTCTGAGGTAATCTTTAGAATAAAAAGGTAAGAAAAATCTGAATACAGAGTCTAGCAGCATGAAGCATTCTGTTGACAATGCAGAAGGTAAAGATATAAAGAGATTTTATTTCTCAATACATCAGAGGATGTAATAATAACTAATTCTACTAAAGGAAGAAGGAGGAAAGGCAGAAAGGTACATTCACCTAAAAATATGCAGCATTTTCTGAGGTGAATTTAACTGCAGAGCTAAGAAAAAATGATAGAGTGTTGCCTAGATCAAAATTGTTTTCAAATAACCATTTTTACCATTAAATTGCAGTGCTCTTGATTTTACAAAATGGCAACCCTCCAGCAGGAAACAGATTTGGATCCATCCTGACTTCTCATTTATATAAATAATCAGATAAGCTGTAAAGAGTAAATACCTATTTCCAGGAAATAAGCAACTGGCTTCTATTTTCAAACACCCTCAAGAACAGTTGGATTTTCTGTTCCTACAGTTTTACAGATGTAAATGAGCTCACTTTAAGTTTGACACAAATACACAATATATCATTCAATACTTTAAAATACTATGTACACATACAAGTCACATTCTATTTTGTATTGAATATACATACAAAATCAGTTATCAAAGATATGTAAAGGAATGAACCATGGAAGGTTTCAAGTATCCATTTCTCGAAACTTTTGCAAAAATATCCTCAATTACCTGTCCTCCATAATAAAATTCCTCAGAATCATTATCTCCTTCAGAGTCTTCTTCAAGTGTGCTGTTGTGCTGTGACTCCTTAATTAAAAAGGAAAGTTAACAATGACATAAGCAATATGTCTGTCTTGCATTTAATGTTCTGAGTACAATAATTACGTTTTTATAAGTAAGTTGTACACAGCTTTAGGAAAAGACACTTCAGTATCATTTTTCCCAAGGTGTACAGTGGGCCTATTTTAAGAACAGTGAAATAGCAAACAAAGCCTGCACGTACTAGCAGTGCACAAAAAAACACCATGGAAATAGATCAGAGAAACAATACTTTGTCTGAGTGTAGACACAGTGTGGTATTTTAGGGAACTGGTGAATTCAGTAGGATATTCAGAGCTACTTCACTTTCTGCTTCTGCTAAACAAAGCATAATTTACCCACCAATAGAGGTTCTGGACTTAATTCGTTTAGCATTTTACTGATCTAATAAAGTTTTAATTTACTTTATTCTGGTAAATCAATTCTAATAGTTTAAGGAAATAATTCAAGCCCAACCATGAGATTTTTTAAGTTCCCTCATGTAAAAAGCTCTGACACACCACTGTTTAGTTACTATTTTTTAACAAAAGTACCAGCCTGTTGCCAAGAAAGTTAAATCTTAATTTTCTGACCAGCTCTACTCCAAGATTCGGAAAATTAAGGATTAAAAAGTAATATGCTTACCCAAGTAAAACTTACCATAATTGGGTTCTCTGTGAATAATTGCACTCAAGTAAATAGAACTGCTCATGGTACAGACTGCAACTCAGCATGAGCTACAGTGTTGTATTCTGCTTCTTACTAATGGAGCCCTCATTTATAATTACGTAATTACTTGAAAATATTATTAATACTGTTTCCCACAATCCATCTGTTATTTCTAGGCCCTCTGTTGACAAGAACCCCCTAAAAAAACCTGATAAAACCACAACACCTCATTTAAATCCAAACACAATGTACTTATTGCATATTTTGTATTTATGTCCTACACAGAACTGTCACAATGGAATAGAAATCAGATCTATGAATCACAGTAGAGAAAGTATGTTTAAATTCCATATATTTGTAAACATCACCAATTTCTATGGCCAGACAATCTAATCCCATCTCCTTATCTTTACCTCTAAATTCCTGCTCTGGATACTGCATACGCACATAGAAGAAAAACTGTATTTCAGACAATTTCACAGCAATTTTCTGAGACGAGGCATAAAAATTGTATTTGCTTTTGCTTTACTGAAAAGAAACAAAGTGACTTCAGTTGTATTTGTTTAACAATAACCCTTGCTCAAGGGGAAGTCTGTATTCAAACAGAACCCAATTGAAGAAGTTTCAATACAAAGTAAAGAGAAATGAAACTCTCATAGGAGAGTAATGACAAACCCATCCTGTCCTAACCTGAACCTCTAACTGCCTAGCCAAAAGAAATGGTCAGTGTTAGAGACTTATTTAAAGGCTCTTTCAGTACTTTCATACTTAACTACTTTGTTCAATCTAAAAAAAAAAATAATTAATAATTCTTACTGCATTTTAATTTCTAATGTTTACAGAGCACTGAAAACAATTATGAAGTGACACAGGCAAAAAAACTTCCATTGCAGCCTTTGAAATCAAATCAGGTTAAATTGACTGAAAAAAAAAAAAAAAAAACCAGCAAATAAACAAACAAAAAAACAAAACAAAAAAAAAAAAAAACAAAAAAAAAAAACAAAAAAAACCCCCCACCACACCCATTATCAAAACTGACCTTTTCCATGATCAAATACAGATCAGAATCTTAAAGCAGTAGTCAGAAAACAAGTATTGCAAACCCAGAAACCAAACTTATCAGAGAAAGTATTTAAGTTAAGCTCTTGAATTCTTGGCACAGTACTCATTCTCAGGCTTGGCATGGAAGCCTATGTGGCACTTTCTTTGAATCCTTAACACTGTCAGCCTCTGAAGACCTCATTCTATTGTCATTTCTTTCTTAATATCATCTCAGAGAGATTGGTTAGAGGCCCATGCCAGAGGCTTGACTGACAAGGCTTCAGCTTCAGTTTCAGATACTAACAGTGAACGTTGTCAGGGAAAGCTCCAGAGACGCCAGCTGGAGTGCTGTACACCACAGCAGTAGCCTAAGTGAATTAAGATACTTCTAAAATACATGTATCAACAATCTGAGTAAGCATACATTTGATAGAAATTCTAAGTCAGGCATTCCAGTTTTCTCTCATTTCTTAAAATACCTGTTAAAATACACATATAAGAAGTACATACCTCTCCGTTCTCCCTCTGTAATTTTGCTTTAATGGATAAGCAATAGTTGACATCGCTGGTTTTTCTTAATTCTTAAGAGAAAAGGGAAAACAGGGAACATCTGTGAAAAACGTGAAATAATTTTGCATATGCCAACTCAAAATACTTAGTTGAAATAAATGGTGTGCATAAGGAACATAAAGATATGGGCACGATGGGCACCAAATTGCTTACAACCATCTGAAATAAAGAAGCCCATACATTTCAGAAATCTTATGGAGTCAAATAAAATTCAGCTAGTCTATCCAGAAGATTTGTTTTGCTCAATCAATTTACATTTTTGTGTAAAAAGGAGCAAGATCAAAATTCCCTACCAAAATTTTAATCAGATTGTTTTCTATTCAAAAAATAAGCTATGTAATAATAATAATAAACATAATAATCCCATCTGAGCAACTGTCAGAATTTAGACTGCTCCACACAATTTCTCCTACAATCTGAAATCATCAAGGAATTTAGCTGATAAAACCTAAGAAGCCTCTAAGAAATGTGCACAGATCTTACTAATACATAGTATCTAAGTGTCTAGACTTCTGCCAAGATCTGCCATTTTACTTGTTAGCTACTTCTGAAAAGTATGGAAATAATTTCAAATGAAATAATTTCATTGGAATTATATTTTTTCTACAGTCTCATTTTGTCAACCATTTTGCATGAAATTTTTTGAAGTAATTCTCTAGAGGCAATGATAGTTACAGACTGTTTCACTCCCAGTGGTGAAGATTTCATAGAGTTTTAAGCAAGAGAGCATAAAAATATATAACTAAGAAGTATTAAGCACATCTAACTATTCAAGGAAAATTGCTTTAGTACAGACTGCAAGACACTAAAAGAATAAAATACATTCTGCCTACACAATTGTGTAGATCCATAAAAGAAGCATTTTAATTTATTAAATTCTGAAATGTAGGACAATTCACTACAGTAAGCCCATGAGGAACTAGCAAACTTCAACTGCATCCATTAACACATCTATTTAAGTAGAGGCAACATCTTGTCCTCCTTCACAAAGCATCTTCTTTACTAAGAACTTAGTAAAATCATCAGGATGTAAGATTACCTGTAGCAATTTGATGGAAAATTACTGGAATTGGCTCTGTTGTAACTAATACATCTTCGTCATTATCAGAACTGGAAACGTAAGTGTTATCTATAAAAGAAAAACACCTTGTATGTTGAAGGCCCATGGTGCTTTGCCAACCCTTTCCCTCATCATCCATCCCACCCTTTTGTCATAAGGTACCACCTTGCCAGTGACTAAAGAAGGCCAGCATACATCTCCTGGTGTGTTTTCTCTAATGAGATTGCTGACAAAAAGAAAAATATCAAAAAAGATGGAAGATTGAGACCCATATTTTATACAAGCAAACCCCAGGATTCCAATGTCACAGTTTTCAGGAAGTGTATCAAGCAATGCTCAGAACTGTTCTATCAAGGCTAATGGGGGTTTGAGTGAAGCTTTTCCAAAATGAAGAGTTCTTCAGGGCTTTTTATCATGCCTGACATCAACACCCACACATGCAGAGTGAGTTTATGAGCACAGTATTCACAGATGCCTGTGCCTCGTGTTAGCTAGTCTCAAGAAGCATGTCTGAATTATCTTCTAATCAACGGAGAACATCTTCTTTACAAGATTCAGGAAAAAGAAAGTCTTAGGTATGTATACGAATATGGAAATTATATTCTAAGCTTCCTCATAAAATGTGAGGTTAGGCTGTGTTTTTATTTCATTTCCAACTAAACAGAAGAGGAGCAGCAAGGTTTCAGGTAGTACCTGCAGAAGCTGATTTTGCAAGAATTGTTGAAGTGCCTATGAAGGAACTAAGATTTTATTTTCTAATGACATGGGTTGAAATAGACTTTGCACTTTATTGCAAAAAGATTGACAATTAGGACTATCATAGATAGAGAAGTAACAGAACTGAAACAAGAGCTATCACCACTTTGAACACCCTGGTCACATCAGTGAAGAGCATAATCTTGCATACAATTGTAAGCATACTACTGCAATCTGGGTCTCAAAGCCTTGGAGTGCTTTCAATGGAACGCTAGAAATGTTAGCATTAATTTATCAGTAAATTCAGCAGTATTGTCCCTCGCACTACAGTGGTTCCTAGAAGCCTGCATTAAGACTCTGGGGTTTCCATAGCTGCCATGCTGCCGCTCGTAGGTGGGGCTTTCCCATTCTGTGGGACTGTGAATCAGCCTTTCTGCCACTTTCACACACCTGCTGCATCTGGTGCAGTCCCACACTCTCTCCTGCTTCTACTTTGTGTTCATCAGAGGTAATGTGGGTCATCGGAGCACAGTGCAGCAGATACACCCTGTGAGCAGCTAAGTGCTCCAGGAGGCTGGCACTTTTCCCTGAGCACCACACTCAAGCAGGCACAGCAACCTGCTCCATCTGCTCAGTCGGCATCTGCTCTGCAGTTGGCACAGCACACTGAGCACAAAAGGGGGCCCCTCCAGCCATCGGTCAGCTTTCACTCCTGCTGCTCTTGTCTGTGGGGAGGACAGGTTGTAACTGTGTGTTCAGGGCAGCTGCACCTTACCCTCCCCATGCCCACTGCCTTGCCTCCATCTGCATGCACACCTCACTGTCATTGCTTCAGTCCCTGCATAAAACATAGAACACAGAATTGCTCAAATTGGAAAAGATCTTAAAGATCATCAAATCCAACCACAACCTCTGGATATGAAACTTATGCCCGTTCTTTTCTAAAGCTGGGGAATAACTTACTGCTGTGTAGTGTAACGAGCAGGAATAACTGAGATCATAACTTGATTCTAAATAAATGTACCCAGAACTGTATAGATGGGTGGGGGAGTGGAAATCCACGTGCTAGAATTTATAGCTATATGAAATAGTAGGTAATACAACAATCTGTGCTGTAGTAAATATACCAAAATATACATATATGGAAAAAAAGACAACTCAATTAAAGTTGTATTGATTTTAATTACATTTTTATGTCCACTGATTGTCACTCATTCTTGGCAGCTGCATAGTATGTTTCACTCACTGCCAAGCTTTTGTTTTTCTTTTCTACTTGGCAACCGCTACTACTTTTTTTTACATTTGTGTTTGTTTTGTCTTGTTTTTTTTTTTTTTTTTTCCTTTTGTCTAATGAAATTTGAAATTAAGATACTGGTTTTCATTTGCTTTCTGGAGGATCCCATAGGCAGTGTCTGCCTGAATCTAATTCAGAGAGGCAACAAACCAATCACTACCAAGTGGGTTGTCTCCACCTCTGCTAAAGTCTAACATGGTCTAAGAAAGGGATGATTCTGTTAACATATCTATAATCCAGAAATAACTCAGATAAAAGACTGCATCAGTTCTAAAAGTTTATGGCAGCCAGCAAGTATCAGTCAGAAAACATATTCATTAGCAAAATGCTTGCTGCTGCAATTGTTCTCACACGAGTCATGATCCACTCTTATTAATGGGACTTCAGTCTTCTCACTGATAGTATATTCTACAACTGTTCCTAAGGAGCATTATTTTTCCTCACTTTTTTCAATGTTATGAGAAAACGGTTACCAAGGTATTTTGCTGGAACTGTTATTACCCTACCTCTGAAGTTTTCAGTGATATTTTCACATTTTCAGCAATGTATAACTCTCAGACATTACTGTGTCAGCACTCTCATTAACTTCTTCAGCATGCCTCTGTGAGCGTATTTTTAGCTTTCACTCGCAATTATGAAACTTTCAAGCACTTTTCATTATTGAAAGTTGTCATGTCATGTTATGGTTCCCACAGGTATGATTTAATGTTCAGCTGTTTGTAATCTTTTGATGCCTTATGAATCAATTCAGCGATAGCTACACACTGTTATCAATGCCAACACGGTGATGTGTAACAGCAATGCAGGGAACTATACATTGTACCCACAGGTCTTACAGTATCCAAGATTTATTTGTGGGGTCACTTTTGGCTGAATGAACATTTGTAAGGCTAAATTTTTTTCTCTTTCCGTATATTGATCATATAAATTAGCAACTTATCTTATGATCAACTGACAGTTTTCTCCCAGATTTCATCTCCTGGATTTCAAAGCTTTATCCACTGTGTACTACATACCTTTAATCTCCAAATGATACAACTTTGATATAGCTACACACTAATGGGCTTAAACCTTGATCTGCAGAGACTTATCCTATAAGAAATGTAATCTAATGAGCACATGCTGCTCTGAACTCCAGCAACTAGTAACAATGCTTAAAATCATCTTTGAGTTGAGGACACCAGCACAGAGCTTCCCAGGGTGGACACCATTACATTCAGATGTGTCTCTGAAACATCCCTAAAAATACATACCAGAAAAGAGGAGAGCCACGATCAGCTGTAATGTTAACTTAAAGATTTAATACAAAGAGAAGAGAATCTGGCTTACCAAATCACATTGCCTATTTTTAGGATCAAAGCTGAAAAACAGCGAAGTGTCATTATTATTCCTAATTCACTAAGCACCTCTTCATTGTAGAGCAGGTATACGTATCGCAAAAGCTTGAGATAGAAATAAAATCAGCTCTTCCCAAGGGTTGAAAGGTTAGATTTCAATCAATAAACATGCACAGCTGGTTCAGTCCTCCTCACCAAGTTAACTATAGTGTAAAATGAACAAATTCTAGTTGGCACTAATATACAGGGAGCAATGGTAAACAATATTTATTAGGTTTTAGGGCCAAACTAATTCAGACCTGTAGACCACTGGGGCATACTGCAAGCAGCACCTGGTAAGGGAGGTTTGAGGTCTGTCAAACAGAAGAGCTTGCCAGGAGATTAAATCTTGTTTGCCATGGGAGCAATTGCTGGTTCAGTGCTCTGGAATGTCATTTAGTTTAGAGATTCCTAGGAATAAAGTTCTGCAACCTCAAAACAGCCTAATCACTGAAATGAATAAATCAACTCCTTAACAAAACTAACCATTAACATTAACTATTTGTCTCTTTTCATTGTCAGAGTAATCAAGTGACTAATTAATTTATGAACATGACTGTGTAATTTATGAATCTAACTTTCTGCACCACCTGCTGAACAGGTCATCATTTCTAGCAATTTTTCCTCCAGTTGTTACTAGTGAAAACAAAAAATTATCTCTCATAAAGGTTATGAGTGTTCTTACACAAAATCTGTAGTATTTATCATCACTACTGACAGTAATTTCTCTCTCTGCCTCTGCTTCAAACACTGGTGTTTTGAACAGGCATAGTTTGCTGCTGATTAACAATGAAGAAGATGAAGACATTGCTACTTCAGAGATTGTAAAAGAAAAAAGAAATATTCTTTTTAGACATATTACAGAGATATTACGGAAAATAATCAAAAAAGGACACAGGCTTTCATACCATTCATAGTATTAACGTTATTAAATACTCCCAGGTACAAAATACACAACGTGGTGCAATCTTGCACTTGTTACTGTGGACCACTACTTGCACAGTGCCTGTCTGCCCTCATCCCTGCTTTACTCTTCAATTGCTGCTTGTGTAGACTATCTGCCATGAGAATCTACCTATAAAGTAGCTGTGCAGGCTGTCTGTGAAGGAAATAGTGAAAATAATTAAGCTGCCAATCAGCTTCTACTCTTGGCCAGCTGCGTTTTATACAGGTGATTTACCTGTCTAGGCTGGCCACATGGTTACACAAACTCTTTTGCCAGCTCAGCTCAGGGTGAAGCAGAGAGGCAGGACCGAGCAGCTGGGAACAGCTTTGCAAGCTTACATTACCAAAGACATACCCACACATAAGCCCTTGGCTCCAGCAGACTCTGAGAAGCATCAGTGCACAGTTCGCAGGCTTAACTTTAAGAACATGAGTAGTCTCATTAAGGTTTAATACACTGAAGTGCTTTGCTGGCCCCATGCCAGACTGCTCAGCCTCCTGAAGGATCAAGCTTTATCTACCATGCCAAAGAAGAGTCGGGCACTTTCTCGCTCCTCTATCAATGTTGGCTCCAAACACAAGAAGCATCACACGCTCTGGTCTCAGGGAACCTGTGAACCAGGTTTTCTCACCCTGACCCAGTTGATAAATGATGCCTGAAAAGGAGAAATGACTGTGAAAATTATCTAACTAATGGGAAGTGATTAGCCCAAGGATGCACCTGGAACACATTAACACTCTTTCAAATATTCTCATATGAATACTGTAAGTTATAATAACACATATACATATGTCATGAACAAGAATGTTGCACTGTACCTGGGTAGTCCTCAGAGACGTGCACTGAATAGGATACACTGTAAAAAAAAAAAAAAAAAAAAAAAAAAAAAAAAAAAAAAAAAAAAAGAAGAAGAAAGAAACAACAGAATTAATAATTACAATAACTGCTGAGGTAAAATTTTTTTTTCCTGCTCCTCTGTTATCCTGTGTTTATTTATAGAATCCCGATGGTTTCCAGAACAGAAGCTAACAGCTTTTTTGATGGCTTTTGAAGTGCTCAGCTAAGAAAAAGTGTCATGCCCATTCTAAAAGTTTACTCTGCTGAACTGGCACATCCTGATTTCAACCTTCTTAAAAAGAATATTAAGACTGTATTATTTTTACTTCAGAGTGATATTTCACCATGTGTGTTTGCCTAAATAAACAAATAAATAAAAAGTTGCTCTGTGAACACCATATATAGAAAAGCCCAGCTTTCTCTGCAGTTGTTTGTGAGCTTTACTCAAAGCCCAGCCTGAAGCCTTTTGTGCATCAGGGTACCTCTTTACATTTCTGTTACACTCAGTAAGAGAACTGTAGCAGGCTCTGTATTGCTTAGGCTCCTTCCTCTCAACAAAACACCACATTTATAAGACTTGTGGCAATCCTATTTGACACCTATATCTCTCTGTCAAGCTGAGTTCAATTCAAATTTAAAAGAGCTTCAGTCACATTAGTGTCTTCACCACACATAGATTATTTGAATCTGTTTCTCCAGAAAACAGATACACAAAGACTGTTCTCATCTCTTACCTAGGTCCATGTGTGCCTTCCATAAGGCTCACTAAATTCACTGCCCCTTTGATTTTTTATTTTTTTTTAAGGTTAATGTACATCTTCATTTAAATTAAAAAAAAAAAAAAAAAAAAATCAATTCTACAACATGCTGAAAGCTTTCTGCTGTATAATTCATATTCTTCCCATCTCTGAATTCTATAAATTGTATGTATCAACATACACATTTAAATAATTCATGATGCATGTTCATGTCTGTAGTGAATTAAGGAGACAGACAAAGACAGAATGGCACAGTTCTCTTAATAATTTTTACTGTGCATTGTGCATTGTTGAAAACATATTCAGTGCATCTTTTTCAATTACATGAATACAACTCCCATGTAGACTATAAAATAAATTCATATATGATTTTTCTCTCTCTCTCAAGGACTTCAGCTAAATGAGTTCTACTTTCAAAATTCAATGATGGTAGGAGGTAATCAATACAAAAAAAAATAGATCTCATACTTTCTTCCGTAAATCAATCTATTACAAAACAGCTCCGTCACCTGTTTTTGCACATAATCTTTTCTAACATAATTCGTTTTATGTGTTGTTTGACTAAGAAGCAGAGATGCCTGTTTCTTCAACAGCTGCACATATTCACATATGTGGAAGCAGAAAGAGTGTTTATTATAGCTGACAACAGATTTAGCCACACAACTCTTGATGCTGCAGTCATTCCAGGATTAAATCCCATCACTGTGTAAAGCCAACATGTTGTGACTTTTCTCTTTTAGCTCTTTTCTAGATATTTGGGTAGGAATCGTCTGTAACTCACCATCTTAGAGTATTTTCCCTAAGGACTAGGGGATATTGAAACATAGTTAATCTCTCAAGGCATGAAATGCCATTATTTTAAGAGGAGAAATATTTCAAAATAAGGGAATATTACAAATCTCAGTACAGTCATTTGTGGAGAGTTTTGTCCTCTGGTACAAATGACCACAACAACAAAACACAAAGCACAAAACCAACAAAAACAGCAATAAGTTAATGAAGAGTTTGTTCGTAGTAAAACTATCTTTGAGAAACTGCATTTGCAGCCATGACCTTTACCCAAAGCAGTACTTCAGCCTCACTCTTTTAGCCCGGCAGCTTGCATACCTCTTTGCTGTCGGCTTTGTATGGGTTTGTTTGACTGATGTCAAACAGAATGATGTTCAAGTGTAGGCTTCCATCACAAAGAAAAGAAAAATCTTTCTAGAAACAAGCAAATAGTCCATGTTCAAACAAAAAAATCTTATCAATCCATTTTAAAACCTGAAGCAAAGCAAGGAAATTCCATGTACTTACATTAAATAAATAAATAAATAAATAATAAAAAATAAATAAGTAAACTATGTTGAAGAGAGGAACAGGGGCTCAAGTAGTTACAGAACTCCCTTCAGTGAAGATATTAAAAACTTGATTTGATAAGGCCCTCTGCTACTTAACTGTGAAGACAGATGATACTTTCAACTTGATCCTTCTTTGAACAGAGAGTAGACCAGATAGCCTGCACAAGCTGCTCCGCTTGTGAGTTACTCTATGCTCCTTTGTACAGAAACCCTGTAAAATTGTGTTTCTCTTCCTTCTTCTTCATATAGGAGCTGTGACAGCAGCAGTTGTGGTCACATTAAATGGAAACTCATGAAAAAATACCCTTCTGGGAAAAATATTTGAAAGATAGAAATAAATTTAAAGATTTATGAAGATGCAGGTTAGAAATAACTTCAAACCACCTCTTGCAATGACTATAAGCAAATTCAGGGTCCAGTACAGAGACCAATAAATTCCCGTAGTGGTCTCAGCACTGTGGTGAATATTACCAGGAAGGGGAAAGGTAGAAATTATATGAAGGTTTTTTTGTTTGTTTGTTTTTCTGTAAATCTAAATAAAGAATCCTAACACAGATAAAATTTTGCACCAATATATGGTGTCATTTCAACTTGAAAAGCATTAACAGAGAGTTTAACTGCCAACTCAAAATCATAACATGTTAGAAGTAATAATGGCATCTGTTAAGACTGCCACCTCAAAGGAGAGATTTTTGAGGAGACATGAACCAAAGCCTAAAGAGCAAAATACTTGAAAATGGAATATTCACTTCCAATTAGATAAAACAGCAGCTTTTATTAGAAATAGTACTGATTTGAATTGGGAACTGAATAAATATAGCTTAGTCCTCAATTCAGCATTTTTTTTATTTCCTGTGTTGAGTGTGTTTAACCTGATCATATTGTTAGCCTCTCCATTCTAAAAGATAAAAAAAAATTAAAAAAATTAACAATGGCGGGAGGATGTATAGAATTGTCTTCTATTTAAATTTTGGTTTTCAGTGCACATTGATGTCCCTGTGCTGTGAGAGCTTCAATGTCCCAAGTCACTGTATGTTGAGAAGTATCACACCAGAAAGATCTCCCATAAGTACAGCCTTTCAGATAGGTCACTCCACTTGCACAAACCTAAAATCCTACTTGGAGAGAAAAAATTGCTTGCTGAAGCTGCCAAAGAGAGGAAGTGCTTTGCTTGGGTAGGCCTATGTTAGTTTTGTTCAGGCTATGGAAACAAAAAAGCCACAACTATTGAACAGAGTACAACTTGTTTTTCTGTTCCAAATTGTCTCTGTGACTGCCATATATGAGATCACATTTGGGTACATTTTCTACAGTAAGGATAAAATGCTTCTTTCCAAATGTCCACCTGAGCTGTCAGAAACACAGCTACAGCAAGCTAACAAAGGTCTCTTAAGAGGTTCCAGTCCCGCAGCACTGAAACATTTTCCCATTGAGTTATTTAATAAGATTTGGAACCAAAACAGAAACACAAGACACTGATAGCTTAAAGCACCTTCAAAAATCACAGACTTCAGTGAAGGCACAGATGTTCACACCTCTCAGCGTTAAATCCTTTCAGAGCCAAAGAGAGGCTGCACTGAAGCAGTTCTCTTGTTTAAGTACTCAGAAATGCAACTGGAATGAATTTAGGTCTGGTCTCCACACTGCACAGAAGTAAAACGATTATTTCAGTGAGGGATGTGATTTTTTCTTTTGGAAAGCAGCTCCTCTGTACAACCCTGTACAGTTACATTGCTATAAATACAGCTTATAGCACTATAATTTATGCCCATTCCCATAAACACATTCAAACCAGCCAGCCATCACCTTTGCTAGTTTCATTCTATTGCTTCTATTGCTTCATGAGCACAGTTAAACTTCGCTGTAAACAAAGCCTCAATGATCATTTTATTTCTGCTTTATTGAGCTCAGACCCTCTCCGAAGGGCATCCCACAGAACATATATTTCTCACCCTATAAGCTCAGAACAACCTTCAGTCTATAAATGGTCTTGTAAAATTTTTGTTATTTAAATAAAAGTAAAGCACCATATGAAATTAGTGAGAGATGTCATGTTTCCCTTGAGATTTTAATGTAAACTTCTTACCGCTTGAAATAATATGAACAGTCAGAGCTACAGCCTTAGAAACAATTCTATTCACAAAGCACTTCTTGCAAGCATTTTGTAATGTGTTTTAACCGTATCTGCTCCTTATTCAGAGAGATTGTCCTGCAAAAATCTATCTGCCTTCATGAACTAAGTCATAACTTAGATTAAGAGCCAAAACATAATTGCTGTTTTTCATATGTCTGCCCCATTTTGATAAAGAACAAGCACATTCACCCACATTTATTATTATTATAATTTCCAAAAGTTAAACAGGACAGTCTTTGCAGATTCACAGAGCCATTTCCAGAGGCAGGATCCAAACCCACATTACTTAGTGAGCAGAAAAAGTACATGCAGACATAAGTACGAGCCTCTAGCACTTGGATCTGAGAAAGGTAGGCCTAAATTGCCTGCAGTTGTCCCAACCAAGCAAGATTTTTGAGACAGTGAACCACACTCCTGCACAGGAGTTGTGTGTAAGACATGTGTTTTGGGGCCCAAACTGAACATGCTACCAGGCAATACAATACACAAAAATGTAAGATCCTGAGCAAAGAAAATAAATAAATAAATAAAACAGAATCATGTAAACTGCAACAGGCAGAAAAGCGAAAGGTACTGCACCCGTTTATTCCCTTACGTATAACAGTGGTCTTGTTTCTAGAGGATTAGTACAAAAAAATAAAAAATCTAGAGATACCAAGGTTTTTTGAAAATAAAGGTTTCCTGAGAAACTTGTACCCGTCATTTTGCCAAGCTGTATCTCTTTAAATCAATTTATAGGATTTATGGGATTGTTTTCCATGCCACGAACTGTGTTTTTTACCTATCA